GTATAGATTTACATCAGAATATATATCAAATTAAATAAGCAAGCTTTCTGCACATATCAATAGTTGAGTTGTATTATGAGACTATATATCAAGGAAAGACTAGCTTGTTAATGTTAGTAAAGTGTAACCCGATAATGCCACAAGAATACGTCCTAACGCCGGTAATTTCTCTCATATGACAAATGAAAGCCCAGCACGTTTTTACCGTAATTCAAAGTGTCTCGAAAATCGCGTCGGCCTGAACGTCCTAATAAATCAACGACCAAGAGGAATCTGCAGTCGTCTCTGGCCAAAACGACCTAAGAATCTCTTCATCACACAGTTTTCCAGAAAATATAGTCAAAAGAGGAAAAATATTATTCAATTGTCAGCCGAATTCCGATTTATGCATTAATTTCAACCAAAATTTAAAGCCCTGGTCCTCGTAACGATAAGCTCAATTCCACCTTCCTCATTGTCTACATTGTGAGAGCAGCTGGCAAATAATTGTATCTCAACCAAAAATACTTTACTATACCAAGCATAAAAGACAACTATTGACCAATGTGTTCAAACAATCCTAGTTCATAAAAAATAGATCTTAAACATTTATAAAAGAATACGCAGAAAATCCGAGGAGCGAAGTCTTATTTATGGACGCCATATTAACTGTAACTTCACTTGTCGATCAAACATCATATTGCCCCAAACTCCTTAGTCTACACAATATGATCTTTAATCGAAGTGACAATTTTCGCAGGTCTACGCAAATACTCATAAGCCTGACGTAGTAGGTTATAATAAAACCAAATTTTAGGGAACTAATTTAGCGCATAAATGAAACACCATTTCACTAAGGATTTAAGTTGTGACCCTAATAACTTTTGTCAGATAGGCTACAGAGGAATGGCATATCGAGGTTAGACAGATGCAGCAATTTCGCTTCAGATGGAGTAAGGATGAGAAAGTATGATAAGTTAGCAGCTCACTGCAATAATTTGCATATGCTGCTGGTGATGATGATGATGATGCAACTGACGATGTTTGTGACCCGCTACTGGCGAAAGTTGAACCTGTTGTCGCTGTTGTACATTGTGTGACGGCGCCTGCTGCTGTTGAATCTGATTGTCACTAGGCGATCCTGCAACTAATGCAGGCCGGAGGACAGGAGTAGAGCAAGTGGCAGCGAATACAGCGGCCTCCTGGGAAACTATCTGCTTCTCGAGATCACGAATCCGTTGTCGAAGGGTATTATTTTCTATCAAGGTCTAAATAAAATGCGAGAAATAATGTTAAAAGGTATATTTGTAAATTTAATAAAGTTGGATGGATGAAAAGGATTAAATAGAACATTAAGATATTTTCAAACGAGTTTACAGGAATAATTTATAAAAAGTGACCCTTGTTGTGATAAAAAGTCAGCAATTCAAATTTCATACCCTTAGGATGGTGACAAAAAAGAAATGTAAAACCCTATGGACTCGCGCTAATATTCGCAACAGTTCATTTAATTAACCACATGTTATCATCTCTAATATCGATTGTTCTAGCAAACTATTGATAATATTAATAAAAACAAAACATCATTAAATAGCTTTATCACAAATAAGACCAAGATTGTGTGACCTCTATTTTGGTAACAGTCTTCATCCCCGCCTTCGCATATTTGAAGTTTTGCCAGGGTGACTTAGATGAACACATCTTGTCCTCTGTTAAAAGTTTCAGCGTCAAAACGTGTATTTGGCACGATGGAGTATAAATTTCTGACTGAATAAAATTCTGAATTATATTATTTTAAGTTAATCTAAGTTAAGTATTATTCGAAATTTGTTCTAGATTGACGACTGTTGCTATTTAATCTATTGAAGTACTACCGCATGTATTTCTATACTAGCTCGCAAAAGGCTTCAAGGATACAGACAACTCGTATAGTGTAATTGAAGACAACCTTTATCAAAATCTTCCATCAGGCCTAAATAGGGCACTCTCA